GCAAGCAGACGAAGCCCCAGCACCTCCCCTGCGAGGAGCCGCAGCCCGCGCCCCGGGAACTGGCGGAGGCAGCCGGCGAGGTGGTGGGGGGTCCAGGTGAGTAGCGCTGCGGTCGCGGCCGGGCGCCGTTTCTCCGGGGTTTCCGGACCCGCGCGAGCGCGAGGTCCCGGCACCAGGCGTGGAAGGGCGGATGAAGCTTTCTACTTGAGTCCTGGCGCTCCGACCGCGGCGCCCCTGTGCCCTCCCCCCATCCTGGTAAATTCACTCCCTTTGGGTAAATTATTCCGCTCTCTGCATGGGCCTCTCCAGCCGCTCCTCCCAAACGCTTGTAAACGGCGGGCCATCTCCTAAACACGCTGGGAGGATGCTCTGAGACCCCTTCCCAGTCTGTCTGCCGGGCGTGTCAGAACTCGGGTCCCCGAGCTGCCCGGCGCTGGGCTGCGGCCAAGCGCCTGGAAAGTAGGCAGTGAGACCGGCGCGCAGGGCCACCTTCTAGGAGAAATGTCTGAGAAAGGGCCGGGCCTCAGCTGGTACACTGGGCTAAGTCCTGGAAAGGACAGTGGCAAACTAGGAGAACAAAATTCCATCTCTCCTGGAGCTCCTGGCCCAGTAGGGACGAGAGACAGGGCACAGGAGCTAGAGCCGTGGAGTGTGAAGTGTTTAGGGGTGCGTGCTGGGGGATCACGGAAGCATGGAGGGAGATATGAGGCCTGAAGACAGGCGGGCCCTTAAAATGCTTTGTCCAAGTCACGCCTCACCGAGGAGGGCACCGTCGAGTGAAATCGAAGGTCGTGAAGGAGTGAGCCCTGGAGATGGCCTCAGGGAAGCGTGTTCCAAACCGAGGGACCAGCAAGTGCGGAGGCTAGGGCGTCCGCGGGCTGAAACCTGCAGCGAGTCGGATGAGGTCTGAGAGGTGGTGGGATCCCCGGGGGGTCCCTGTGGACTTTGCATTTTACCCTAGAGAAATGGAGCCGTTAGGGGGAGGGGATGTCGGGCAGGGCAGTGCCACAGTTAAGACTTAGCGGGCTCCCCCAGGGCACCATGTGGCTGAGGAGGTCGGGGCAAAGCAGAAAGACCCTCGGCTACCCTAACACCCCGGTCAGCACTTCTCACCCTGTGACCCCGGCAGACACCAATTCTAATGTGCCTGAGGCTCAGGAGTTTTGCTAACCAGTCGAATTTTAACGGCTGCTCTCTGGCGCCCGCCCCCCCCCTTGGAATGTCCGGGGTGGAGTGAGGTCCGGAATCTGCATTTCTAAAGCGCTCGCCGTGTGATTCACACGCACTCAGATTCAGACTCGGTAGCTTCCTACTTGATCTCCCCACCCCCTCCCCCCTCCCCCGTGGTTAGCTGTTACCTTTTCTTCGGAAGGAAGTGGGGAGAGGAGTTTCAACTATCTTCTCCCCTTCCCCGGCATCTTCCTGGCCCGGAGTGGTGGGAGCGGGGGAGGGTTTCGGGTCTCCTCTCCGCGAAGGCTCAGACCCGCAGCAGCGGGGACACTGCTAACTACACACTCCAAAGGAGGTGGCGGAGGGCCAAAAGCTTAGCCACGCCACTCCTGAATTAATAGTTTGTATTTGAAACTAAAGCTTGGGCAGCCTGAGTTACCATAACCAACCCACCATAACTACCACTCTGCCCAAGGCCTAGAATGGGGACAGGTGGTTTGGACCTGAATTGTCCTTCTGGGGCGGGGCTGGGCTCCTGCCGATCCTCCGAAAGAGGAATTAGGGAGTTATTGGGGATGTTGACTCTTTGGTGGGGGGAAGCAATTATTGAAGACTTCCTGAATTACCCCACACTGTTTTTCAAAGTTCCTGCTGCGGGCTACTTTTTATTCCTGCAAACAGCACAGGTCCTGGGTTTGAAGGCCTTGGGGAGGGTGTTTTACATTGTGCATTCCTGGGGTGCCCCCTGTGGGAGCGGGGGACAATCAGAATCATGCCCCGAGACACACCTCAACACCGGCCACCTGTGCAGAGAAAACGCAGGTTTACAGCCGATGGGGTTTTCCACCTGTATTTCAGTCTGTGATGCTGAGCCAGAGCTTTGCCTCCCACCCCCAACCCCCACTTTGGTCCACTCTTGGAAATGGCTTTGCAGCCAGAGGAGCTTTTCGAGAAGGTGTAATGGAGCAAGTCCATGGGCAGGGAGGGGCTGATCCCCACCAGTAAAAAGTAAAGTAACTCAGGGGCAGGGAAACAACCTTATGCAGTGAGCATCTGAAGTTTCTCAAGGGGTTGGAAAGCGCCCACTGTGTTAAAGCGGATTCTGTCCAGTGTGCCCCCTCCTTTGGGAACCGAAAGGTGTCTGCCCCAGCGCCATCTCGATACCTTTCCCAGGAGGGAGTGGGCTTCCCTAGATCTGTCTAAAGGAGAAGGAGAGCCCCGCCCTTACATTCTACCTGGGTGGCCTGGGATACCTACGGGACACAGTTTCCTGATACCTGTAACCCATCCGTCTCCCCACCGCCTGTTTTTGCAGTTTGCACAATGCGTTTTCCTCTCCCAAGACTCTGCCGGCTCACATATATACACACCAGTGAAGAAAATGTACGATGTTTGTATCGTACTGGCTTAGGTTCTTTTATGGATGCTAAATTTAATAATCTTCACGTAAACCTGCAAGTTAGGGGCTACATCCCCATTTTACAGATGTGGCAACTGAGGGCCAGTGAAGTTTAGTTAACACACTTAGGATCGCACAGGTAATAAATGATAGAGCTGGAATGTGAAATGGACTAGCTGGCTTCCCAGTCTGTTCCAGGAACCACTGTGCTTTACAACCTCTTACGTAGATTTCAGCTTTTCCGTCTCGGTTTCCGTGGAGTTAAGACACTCAAGAGTCTGATGGGTTTCTTTTTAAAATGGGAATTCTAGGTAAGACAAGGTTTTGTGTTTTTCTTTGAAGGGCATAGTGATGACCTTCAGATACGATAACTGTGAGTCCTAGTCAGCTGAGAACTTGAGCGTCTCCTCTGAGTCAGTTTCCATCCTCACAGTGCAGAAGTCCCCAAGGTGTGGTCCGCAGACCAGCAGCATCAGCTGGGAACTTGTCAGAAAAATTCCGGGCTCCACTCCAGACCTGCTGAATCGGGAACTTGAGAGGTGGGGCCCAGACACTTGTGTCTCTTAACAAGCCCTCCGGGTGATGCTGGTGTGATGCGCAGGCACTTGGAGCTGTGCTTCTCCGGGCATGTGCGGAGGGTTCCCCCAGGGACCTTGTTACAGTGCAGGCTGCTTCTGCAGGAGGACGGAGCCGGGGGTGGGCCTGAAGTTCTGCTTTGCCAACTAGCTGCCAGTCACACTGGTGTCATTGTTGTGTGACCACCCTTTGCCAGCGGTCTGGAGCCAATGACAGTCACCTGGGCAGTGCTTTCAGGGGCAGATTTCCGGGATCCACCCTCACCCACCCACCCCTGGGAATTCACATTTAACCCACAATTCAGATGGTGCTGATCCAGGTATGGGGGCGTCTGGGGCATTGTAGGGTGTTCAGCAACATCCCTGGCCTCTACCCGCTAGATGCCATTATCACGCACATGATCCTGGCCGTCAGAAGTGTCTCTGGGCATTGCCAGATGTTCTCTGGGGGACAGGAGGACCCCAGTTGTGAGCCACAGGACTCGGTCATTTGTTCAGGCCCTGTTCCTGAGGGGCTTCCTGCACCGGGCCTGCTCGGCTCTGTTGGCTGTGGCTCCTTTTCACGGCTGGGTGAATGGCTCCGTGAGCTGCCAGTAAGCACACAGCTAGTATTGGGGCGAAGCAAGCCCTGTGCCTAGAACGGAAGCCCTCATAATGTGCCGCACGCAACTCACGGTTCTTCCCTTGACACGCTCTGGAGGAAAGTGGAACCGACCTTCTGTAGCTGGTGCAAACAAGTGCCCGACCTTGGCCTCTGATTCAGAGATTAGTCAGGATTTTTTTTTTTTTTAAGGACTTCAGCTATGGAGAGCACCTCTTTAGGAGTACTTAATCGTTGTTACGGGAGTTCTTAAAACTACATATTAGATTAAACCATATGAGATTGTCGTCGGACCACTTGGGCCCAGGAAAACGGCGATTTTACAAGGTTTGACGTTACTGCAAATAGAGAGAATGATGGCCTGGGCTCCCAGGGACCCGGAGCTGGGCTTCAGCAATGAATGACACGTGGCCAGTCTTGTGCTCTCCATACAACTGTCCCCCTGCCCTGGATTATTTTGAAGCAAATCATACATATGTGCAACTTGTAAATATCCATCCCCAAACTATGAGAAAGTTTTAAAAATTCTAATTTCATCTTCACACCTTAAAAATAAAACAACCCATCATGAAGCTTCCAGTTAGGGTTCAGCATCTCACTGTCTAAAATGGTTTTGCAGTACGTTTTAAATCAGAACCCAAATCTTGATAGGACAGGCCATCACATCAGGCCTTTTAGCTCCTGGTTTCCCCCTCCTTTTTTCACATTCCGGGTTGAAACACCTGCGTTTCCATCCTGGAGAGCAGTGAGGGTTGGTGTGCAGTCTGTGGCCTGTTACTGACTCAAGACAAAACAAGCTCAGACATCGAGAGTAAGCATTTAAAAATAGCCTGCCGTCGCCATGACCCAGCTTTCTGTTTTAGCTGAGAGGAACGTCTGGGCTTCTGTTTTTATCTTATTGCAACTTTTCTCATAGTTTGTGTTTATTTCTTCTTACAAAATATTGGCCCAGGACGGACCAGAAACGACCTTACAAAGTAGGTCTCCGAGGAGCGCTTTTGCAAAGGTTCACGGTCTGGATCTTGCCAGGCTCGTCCCTGTCATTATACCTTGTTCCATTTGTCCCCAGCACTTCCTGGAAATGGGCTGTGAGAGGAACATGACCTTTTGTGAGACCAGCATGTGCGAGGCTGTCAGTGTTCAGTGTGGGTTTTGTTTCTCTTTGGAGAGGCGGTGAAGGGAGGTGAAGTGAGCGCGCACCTGCCCTCTTACAAGGCTTACCATGGTGGCTACATTCTTTTTGTCTCCATTTCAGCCTCAGAAGTAGATAATGATGTTCCGAAGCCAACTTGCGCCCCCACTGACAACAGGGACACCCAGAAAGCCCCAGTCTCGGCTCCTCCCTCCGAGTCAAAGGAACAGGCAGCCACCCTTGGAGAGAGGACGTTCAACTGCTGCTACCCAGGTAAAGAATACGCAGGAGCTGCTGAGCCCTCCAGGCGCCCTTAGGCGGGCCCCTCCATGGGCCTGCTCACCACCTTGCTACTCTTCTCTGTGCACGGAGCCCGGGAACGTCCTCTGTGGGTCCCTCGGCCTCAAGAGCTCAGCGTGGGACTCATCAGAACCTCCATTCATACTAGCGTCTCCGTTTTTGAGGTTACATTCTAAGAAGAGCTGTGTCGTTCTTTTCCCTTCTAGGTTGCCACTTCAAAACTGTGCACGGCATGAAAGATTTGGACCGCCACCTGCGCATCCACACGGGTAGGTGTTCATTCATTTGCTCAGAACTTTAGTGTAAAAAAAACCCAAAAATACCAAAGGGGTTGGGGAGGGGATCTGAATTAAATGCCAGGCATATAGTGGTGAGCAGGACAGGTGACTGTCTCTGATTCGTGAAACTTGGTCCAACAGGCAAAAATGGCAACTAACAGGTAAGGAGAAACTGCTAAAGAACCTATATTATAACAGGCATTTGACTTAGGCTGCTCGCGAAAGGCTTTTCTGAAGAACAGAATCTCGGCTTGAAGTATAAAAGGTGGGAGAAAAAGGAAGCATACCAGGCAGAGGGAACAGCCAGCAGGTGCGAAGGCTCGGAAGGAGCAAAATTGGGTACCAGATGTTGCATGAACTTGAACATAGACCCTCCAGCCCTAGTCCAGCCTTCGCATTATTGCAGACCCAGCCAATGTCTTAATTATAACCTAATGAGAAACCTTTATCCAGAGCCAGTCGGCTAGTCTGCTCTCAGAAATTTACTGACATGGGTTTTTTTCCCCCTTTTCTTAAATAGGCATGAGATGAGGTTGGAGAGGTGGTGGTAGGAAGGGCTGCACAAGGCCTGTGGCTGTAGGGACCTTAGAGAAGAGGCTGCCTCTGAAAGGTGCCTTCCAAGCCGCAACCAGCTCCTGGGGACAGTGCTGGCGAGAAGGGACTCCCTGATCTGCAGCCAGGGTCCCGGCACGGTGGCCCTACAGTGGCATTATTGAACCGGTGCTAGAGAGGCGGTGTGGTGCACCCATCCGGGGATATTTACCCTCTGGCTTTTTATAGAACTTGGCCAACCTTGGTCTTTAGTGTAGACCTGTGCTAGGCCGTATGAGTTAGGATACCAGTCTGTTGGCTCTTACAGGAACCAAACTAAGCGTCTTAAACGTTACCAGGTTTATTTCTCCCCGGTACAGTTTAAGAAGCCAGCAGTCCACAGCCGGTACGTTGGCTCTGTCATCCTTAACGGAGCGCTTCATCTCCAGGTCGACTCCTTAACCAGTGGGAAGGGGACATGGAGCAGAAGGGGCTTCAGCCTCCCTCCCTCTTGCCCCAGAAGCAGCAAACCTTGTGGCCAGTGAGCTGAACCTAGCACTGGCCACATAAAGCACTGGCGGGGGCGGAGGTGGGGGCTGGGAGGGACTGGGAAATGGTTTCGAGAAGGGCAGCGACGTGCCCAGCTCAAACGCTGCAGCTCCACCATTAAGACAGCTTTCTGGACAGGGGCATGGTGCTTTGGAAATAAGAGAACAAAGGGTCAGTTCTTCCCCAGAAGGGTGGACTGTGAAAAGCCTCATCTTAGCGAAAGGAATGGTTGATTTTCACCTTGACAGACAAGGCTCCTGGAATGACAGTGTCCTGGAAATTGCAGGAGCCATTTGAACGAAGATGAGACTCTTGAACATGGCCAGTTTAGTTGTTCTCCACTGTGGCTGTGCTACCGCCATCTAGCGGGTGGGGGCCAGAAGTGCTGCCGGAATTCTACAGTGTGCAGGCAGGTACTTTGAGAATTATCAGGCCCTAAACGCAAGGGTGGACTTAGAGAGAGACGCGCAGCAGCTAGATTAATAGTGTTTTATTGGAGTAACACAGAGCATGATGGGCGTACTGAAAACATGATGGGGCTTGGCGAGGCCCTGTCCTTGGCGGATATACCAAGTGAGGGGTGCGGACCGATTGCTCCTTTAACAGACGTGCACTTGGGCCCCTTCTCTGGGTCCGAGGCTACTCCTCCAGTTCTGAGTCTCCTAGCCAGTGAAAAGTAGGAGAGGGGAGTGGGGCCTCACTGCATCTCTGTGACCCAGAAGTAGTGTCCCTTGCTGTTAGTGACATAGTGAAATCCAACTAATGGTGGCTTTTAACACCAACACACCTCCATCCTGCAACCTGGCCCCAGTTAAGTGCGGCGTCTGACGCACGGGTTGTGGGACTCGGGCTCCTACTTTGTTGTTGAGACACCCCAACGATGCAGCCGACCCTGGCGGTACAGTCTGTGATGACATACTGCAGACCTCAAAGACACACCCTACATGTTAACACATGTCACGTGGGCTAACGAAGCCTTGAATCTGCGTGGCCAAGTGCGCAGCTACAAAGAGAAGGTTCTCTTACCAAGGAAGAAGACTGACGTAGGCTACAGGGTGTCCCCGAGCTGGCTGCGGGTGGGAGGCAGGGTGGCCACGTGTGTGTGTGTGCACGCGTGACCCATGTTTGGTTCGCAGGCTGGTGCTTAGTCCACTGAGCCACACCAGCCAGGGCTAGGTGATATTTATGTTTTAAATCCTCACCTGAGGATATGTTGATTGGTTTTTAGAGAGAGAGAGAAAGAAGCACCCATTAGTTGCTGGCTCAGACCTTCAGCCTAGGTGTGTTTCCTACCTGGGGGTCAAACCTGCAACCTTTTTGCTGTAGGGGATGCTCCAGTCAGTTGAGCCACCCAGCCAGGGCCTGGCGGTGACCGTTGAAGACTTGAGTTTCACCCTGACCCTTGTGGCTCAACTGGACGTCATCCCACAAAGCAAAAGGTCACTAGTTTGATCCCTGGTCAGAGCATCTGCCTGGGTTGCCAGGGGCAACTGATCAATGTTTCTGTCCCTCTCTTCCTCTCTTTCTCTAAAAGTAAATAAATAACATCTTAATTAATTAATTAATAAACTGGAGCCCACATCTTTGCCAAATAAGTAGAACAGTGGTTCTCAACCCACTATTTTGTTTTATCTGTAGTTGCAACATTAGCCATCCGAAATTTTAAAGTATTTATTCTCTTAAAAATAACAGTAACCCGCTCTGTTCCGAACCAGGAAGTGGCATTGTTCGTACCTTTGCACGTGTCTCGTGTCCTGTTTACTAGTTGGGTGCGTGCTCACAGCCGCTCCTGTCCACAGTCCACAGTTCTGTCATTTTGGCTGATGCCTGGGAAGAGCATCTGGTCTCACGTACAGGGTGGACAAAAGCAGGTTCACAGCCGTGGGTGCGGAAACACGGAGTTCATTCTTGTGCCCCACCCTGTGTATTATTGGAGGTGGAAGGCTGTGTGGATAGTTCTCAGACAATTATTATTTTGTGGTACTGTGTCCCAACACAGCAGGTGGTAGTTTCTTGACGAGGAGTTGCTAAGTAGAATCTGCAGCCGCAGATACGTAAACGTTTCAGACGGTGAAGTTAGAATCCACGGGTCTGTTTTCCACGTTGAGTGCACTTACTCAAGCTCAGTTTCTGACCTACCGTGCAAAGTGCCATGCGCTGGTCATTTGGAAAATGCTGGTTTACCAACTTAGGTGATTCTTCCAAATGCTGCTGTACCACAGGGAAAAAATCTCTTCTGTTAATATTACCAATCTCATTTTAAAGAAAAACCCCAAACTAAGAACCAGGAGGCTGCAAGCAGGTCTGTGTTTTGCAGCCCTGCCGTTCACATTCAGAGCTCACATGTCACCATTGCAGTATTGGCCACTCTCCTTGAAGTGACAGCCTCCCGTAGCTGATTCTGCCGAATCAGATCTGGGAAAAACCACAGTTTGTCCGTTGTCCCTGTCAAAAGGGCGCCACCTGGGTACAGGTCGTCTCGTTCTCAGACGACCAGTGGGTTGCAGCAGAAGCCGCTTCTGCGAACGTCCCATCTCCACACACGGGACGTTGAGAAGGCTTGTTTGGGGGAGAGATCGAATCAGATGGTGAGACTGGCCCCCCTTGTGCGTCCCTGGGAGGCGGGGCTGTGAAGCCCTGAGGGCTGAGGTACCAGCATGCCCGCCCGTCCTTGCTCCTGCGTCACTGAAGTTGTCCATGATGGACAAGACAAAGCCTGTCGTGGTGGGAGCGTGACAATAACTTTGACCGCAGACTCTCCCCGAAGCGTCTCAAGTACTCCCAGACTGCACCTGGAGGACCGGAGAGGTCGGGTGCCACAGGCCGAGATGCAGACTTGCTCCCGGCTTTCTGTGTGGGGCGTGGGAAAATCAGTCCTTGGACTGGGATTCGGTCTTTTTATTACCCATGTTCTAAAGTCATGGGGGGGGAGCGTATGTGTGTGTATACATATACAGATATACTTATATCTTAAATGCAAGGCTTTTTTCCTAGCTGGGGGAAAAAATTAAACTTGCAAATATACAAGAGAAACAGGAGGAGGAGGAGGAGCAGGGTGGAAAAGGCTTCATTTCTGGTTTTCCCCCAGGTAAAATCTTAAGCAAGAAAATAGAGAAAAATCAATGTGTAAATAGTAAAATATCTCTGAATAGGTTTAAAAACGGCATTCATTTTCTCGTAACTTTATGCATTGAATATATATTGCTCTTCCTTTCCAATTTTTAAGCCATCCCACTTGAAGGTGGCTGCGTGGTGTTGTTTGAAAGCCAGCCGTACCAGGACGAGGGTTTCCGCCACCTTTCCTTCCGTACCCTGATCCCAGCCACCTTCTGGAGAGTAAAATCCATCTGGAAGAGAAAAGGGGGCACAAAAGTGCCCAGACACCCTGGGCAGCAAGACCTTTGCTTTATCAGAAACTAAAACACCGTGAAGCTGTAACGCAAACAGTGCGAGTAGCGGCCACAAGGAACAAACACGGAACAGATTCCAGAAACAGACCTGCGTGTGTGAACGTAAGGCCGCAGCTGGGGTTGGAGGAGGCGCGGCGCCCTGACCAAGGTCATTGCCTCTCCCCTCGTCATTCACCAATTCCAAGGGTAGGAAGGAAGTCAGAGGCAGACGTCCTCTAACGTATTAGGAATGGAGGGCATGTGTGTGGTATTTATTAGTAGACAGTTAAAACCACAAAGACAGACCAGTGTGACTGAAGTTAAAACTTACAACAAGACACCAAGTTCAGACAAGTGCCCCACAAGAAGAAATCTGCCACGTAGGGCAGAGTGACTCTTCAGCCCACATACATACTCCTACACATATGTATATGTGTTGTGTATCACACTCCTACCTGACCCAAGATGACCCAGTGGGAAGGAATATCAGTGCCAGTACTCACGTGAAGAGCCTGTGCATGATAGAGTGAAATGCAGCATAACACTTTTTTTTTTTTTGCTGGGGGGGGGGTCAGGTGGGCTGTATTAACACAGTGTCAGGACGCCATGTGTCACCTGGCACTCTGTTTGACCATCGCCACACCCCGCCTCCCCACCTCCCAACTCAGAGTGTGGTCATGGGGAGAAGCTTGATGGAGCACTCGTGTGCGTAAGGCCACTTGCGAAAGAATTCGAGGGTTCTCTCCAGGCCCCTGGCTGTCCCCTTATTTACTGTTAATTGTTCGAGTCTATTTCTTTTGAATTTTCTGCTTTCTGTCTTCCCACTTGACCTTCAGTGCCTTGGTCTCCATGTCTGGGTTGAGGAATAGCAGGAAGAGCAAGCCATCCTTCTCTTAGTCTTTAAGAGGAATGTTCTAGCGTCACCGTCTTTTATCAGGAAGGGTGCCTGAACGGCGGATGTCTTGCTCCTTTAAGATGGCCCTGTGGGATTTATCTAGCCTCCCGAAGGGGATCGGCTTGCATGTTTGTATTTTTAATGTCACTGTTTAACTTCACTTGGCATCAATTTCCAAGGTAATCTCACACCAAGTGAGTTGAGGCTTTTTTCCCCCCAATCTTTCTGTTATTAAACAGTGATGGAATGTGGAAGCATTTTGAGAAAATTGATAGAACTCACCCACAGTCCTCGCTGCAATTGTGACTTTTTTCAGAGGCCAGTGGGGTGCAGATTAGGCTGTGACGAGGGCTCTGCTCATCCCCAGTGAGCCCCCGCCCGCAGGTCTGCCACAGCTTTGTGCCTGAGGGTGGGACAGCCTCTGTCTGGAATCAGGAACATGCCAGAGAAAGGCATTCTTGACCTTTTGTCTGCTGCGGACTCCGGGCAGCTTTATCAAGCATACGGACCCCTCCCAGAATGTTTTTTAAATGTGGTAAAGTCACCTTAGAAACATCTCAGTGCAGTTGCTGTCGAAGTGTTAAATGTGTGGTATTTCAATACACTGAGCCCTGGCGACCCGAAGTGTGGCAAAGACCAGAGAGGTCAGCCTCCCCTGGGAGGGTGTTCAAGATGCAGGTTCTCAGGCCCCGCCCAGAAACCCTGTTCTCCTCTCCATTTTTACAAGTTCAGCCTGAGAAATAGGGAGATGCTGGTTCAAGGGCACAAACTTCCAGTTACAGGATGAGTCAGTTCCAGGGATCCGAGGTGCAGCGTGGCGTCTGTAGTTAACAAGACCATATTGTGTGTTACCTACGTGACAGTTGCTAAAAGAGTAGATCTGAAATGTTCTCACCACCAGAGAAGTAATTATCGGAGGCGATGGAGGTGTTAACCACAGTCAGGTGAATTGTTTCTCCATGTGCTCAGACACGGAATCACCACGTTGTCTACCTTGAACTTGCAGTGTTACCTATCAACAGTATCTCAACGCTGGGGGCGGGAGTCTGTGTTTCAGCGCCACCCTGCCCACCAGCACCCGGTTGGGGTGCACGGGGGTAGCACTGAGAAGCCCCACATGCAGCGTTAGGACCTTGGGGCTGGTCTGCTGGTGCCCTTCCTTGCCGGAGGGCTGTAGTGAACACGAATGACCCTTTGAGAACTGGGCAAAGTGCAGCGTCATGGACGTTCGTGGCTCCTGTCTGTTCACGAGGGTCTCTGGTTCCGCCATCGGTGTGGTCTGTTGGCTGCATTCCAAACAGGAGGGAATGCTGCAGCTTTTAGCAACAGAAATGTCACCGTGTCCCGTGCCGGGTCTTTGATGTCCAGTTTACCTGCAAGTCCCACATGAAGAACCCCTGATCTGGAGTGTCACGGTCATCTCGGGCAGGAGGAGTGAGTGCGGCAGGTGATGCACTGGACTCGCAGTGACTCGTGGGTTTTGCTCGTGGGTCAGTGGGCTGAGTGTGTCACACGGCCGAGCCTGCGCTCCCTCGGACAGGGAGGCACGGCCCTCGACGCACGGCCCTCGGGGAGGAAGGGTGGCAAACGCTTCAGCCCTGAGCAGCTTGCTTTGGGTGCCCTCCAGTCTAGCGACTTTTCAGATGGTCCTTACCCGTCTCACTTGGTGACTTAATATTTTCCTGGATCGCCATCCACTTTATTGAGTCTCCTGGACTTACTGGGGTGACGTTCTACTAAACAGTTGTGGTTGACTGTGTCCCGGGTCCCCTTTCTCTCGGCCATGTCTCTGTCCTCAGCCAGGTGCAACTTGACGCCCCTCCCTCCACAGGGTCCCTGTAGACTGGACTCTCACCACGGGGGTGTCTAGTGGGAAGTGGGCAAGGCTGCTGCCGCAGTGCACAGGACCGTCCCCAGCAGAGAATTGCCTGGCCCCGGGTGACAACCCCGCTCCAGTGGGACCTTCCCTCTCTGAGCAGGCTGCCCCTTTTCACAACCGCTTTCGGTTTTGTTGACCAAGTGCTGCAATCGCCACTGATTGCTCCTGGCGCACTTGCTTTCAGTCTCACATCAAAAAACGAATGTAAGCCCATACGCTTGCTTCTTAAAAGCAGCAGGCTGTCTGCTCACGTGCGTGCTCTTCTTGTGCCCGCCTGTAGGGGGCTTGTGATCGGGTGTGGGTTCCGGACCGGAAGCTGTTTTACAGTATGTCCTGCAACTTTCAAGCTGACTTTTCTGAAAACCTTCTGTGAGACCAGTTAGATTCATAATAGTTTGAGTCCCGTCTACTGTGTGAGTTTTGTCTCTTTACCAAGAAATTTCTAGTGGCTTCCATTCACGATTCTTATTTTGCCTGCCAACATTATTAAGGTTCCTGCTTTCTTGCAGCATTTTTCCAGGATATGTTTTCTATTATTTTGCACCCTTTGTCATTTGTTACATAGGTATCCTAAGTATGTTGAGATGACTTTGAAATTTTTAACAGAAATCGAATCCACCTATGTCTGTTGTGCTTAGACTTAGTTTGATTTCTACCTCCTTTTGGGTGCTGTTTTGCTGTTTTTAATGTCGGTTCTCTCGTGGTCTGGAAGCAGTACTTCCGCTTCATTACTTCCTCATATCCCACTTTTTATCTACTTCCTTTTTTTTTCTGTTGTCTGACGTCAACTGACTTTGCTTTTCCCGCTGAATGCTGGTTCGCGTGCAGGGCTCTTTAAATGATTCTTGCAGAACTTTACAGATTGAGTTCCCGTCTTGCCTCCGTCCCGTGTGGTCTGAGGAGCCGTGTGCTGGCCTGAGCTGCCTCCTGTCCGAAATCTCTGAGAACTTATCATTCGGGCTTCTGAACTGGGCCTCCCGCCTCCAGATGAGACACTTGAAGACCCTCAGTGGTCTTCAGTGCTGAGAACTCATCACTTGCTCTGTCCTCTCCTATACAATCAGAACTAGCTTTCACATCTTAAATTCTCTTGTACTTTTCCTTTGTCCTTTTGGGCAGCCTTCTGGAAGAGTCTTTAGCTCCATCTTCTAAGGTTTTCCTTTTTTTTTTTTTAACGTCCTTTCTTCTAGTCATCTAACTACATGTTTTATTTTGACAGAGGAGAGTGAAAATTATCATGGGAATGAAAACTGCTTTTATAACTAAAAGTTCTTGATTTGGGCATGTCCCCCCAAAAAGTTGCTGAGACAGCACGGTGTAGCTGCTTCACACACAGGCACTGGAGCCGAGATGCCTCGTTCAGCCCCCACCTTCAGCCATGTCTGTGACCTTGAGCAACTCAATGGAGGCACGTCTTCCTGGCTCTGGCTTGCCCGAGTGTTTGGTCCCTGGGCGGAGTCACTTACACTCTGACCCGCCCAGTCTGAGGGGTTGTAGGGGAGGAAAGGGACACTCTATTAGGTAAAGATGTTCTGGGCATGGGGTTCTCTGCCTTCCAGGGTGTCTCGAGCTACTCGGGGCCTTTACGGCATTTCTCTAAGCCCCCTCTTTCCTACTAGCTGGGGGCGCATGGAGGCTGTGGGAGAGTGGTAATGACCGCCAAGTGCAGGTCGGTACAGGGAAGGGAGGGTCCTCCTGACCTTGCTTTATGTGGTCCCTCAACTAGTGAGCCAGAAAGCTGTTCTGAGACCCCGAGACCTGCCACTTCTGATCCTGAATACTGTCTGACCACTCCCATTTTCCCAAACGGGATTGGTTCAGCCTGTGATTTTTCTCCCCCGGTCTGGCTTTTATCAAATCTCTCCCTTGGGATTCTTCATAATTTCTGACCCGTCGGTGAATGGCCGCCGTTTGGCCTCCGCTGTGATTATGTAGCTTTCAGTGTCTCTCTGTCTGGGCGTTTGGGCAGCAGGAAGAGGCAGCCCGTATGCGCACCCAGGGTGCCATTTCTGTCGGATCGCTCTGCGGCCATCCTCTAGAGTAACCCGTAAAAACCCTGCCTCTCTCATGTGTTCCAAGGAGACAAACCCCACAAGTGCGAGTTCTGCGACAAGTGCTTCAGCCGGAAGGACAACCTGACCATGCACATGCGGTGCCACACCAGCGTGAAGCCCCACAAGTGCCACCTGTGTGACTACGCCGCCGTGGACAGCAGCAGCCTCAAGAAGCACCTGCGGATCCACTCGGACGAGCGGCCGTACCAGTGCCAGCTGTGCCCCTACGCCAGCCGCAACTCCAGCCAGCTCACCGTGCACCTGCGCTCCCACACAGGTGAGGCCCCGACCCCGAGACCACGGGGCCCGGCGTGGTCTCCAGGGTCCCCACCTTCATGTACATGGTGGTTAAGAAATTTGATGTCTCCGTGGTGGCCGTGAAGCTGGTGGATTTGTTCGTGTGCCGGGGCAGTGGTTTGTAGTAAAACGTGAAGATCGACAGCAGGTTTTTGAACTTGACTGCGTAGAGCAACTGCGTAGAGCACAGCGGGGGGGTGAGCAGACAGCGCAGCAGCCGAGAAGCAGAGCGGTGTCTTGAGGGACCCGGTGCGTAAAGTGGGTGTTTCAGTCGTTTCGCTTGAACGCCGACTGCATAGCTATTAGCTCAGAAACACGCAGTGAAATCAGCTGAGCATTACTGCAGATCATGAACTTCTAGTTCTAGAAATCAGACTTTGCAAAGAGCTTTTCCATCCCTTCTTTGTGAGGAGGCGCCATTGAAGTAATGATCAGTCGATGGGCAGGCCCAGCCAACCCACTGTGGTACGGAAAAACGGGGTGGGAGGCTCGGAAGGAGGTCGATGAGGATTTTCAGTGGCTTTGTGGAAGAGGGCCAGCAGACAGAACTATGCTGGCGTCTAAAACTGAGTCAAGAAAACTGCCCCGACAGACAAATGGGAGCCAGTCGGGCCGGCCAGCCTCTGATTGGCCCTGAGAGTTCTGGGCTCGGAACTGGCGCGTGGTCTGCCGGGGCCGCAGAGCTTGGAGAAGCTGAGGCCTGTTGGCAGAGTGGCCCAGGCTTCCAAGCAGGTAGAATCTGTGGCCCCTGTGTGTCTAATCCTCATACCAGTCCACTCTTCCTAAACGAACTGTGAACTATGGATTATGTATCATTTGTAGAAAAACGATGGCAGAAAAAGCGCCAAGTCTGACAAGTAACTGCTCCTGGAGCCAACGAGTATTCGGGTGGTAGGCGAGAATTTTTCCGTTCTAAGTGGTATCTGTCTACCCACTGGCAAGAATGTCACAACCCAGAGGAGTTCTGGGAAAGGTAGCAAGAACAAGGAGGTGTGAATGAAAACTAGGATTGCTGGCTATAAAGTTAAAAAGGTTTCAGGTATCAGGGGAAAAAATTGAGTTGGAGAACTGAAAAATAAGCTGGATGTCTGATTGCTGACTAGTTCTAGGAGCAGAAGAAAGTACACGTGAGAAAATGAAGTGAGAAAAGGAATCTTGTAATTCTAAGGGGCTATGGGCGTGGTAGGGCTCCCACGGTGCCAAGCAGAGCCAAGGCGGTGGCTGGAGCAAGCTGTACCTGAGAGGACTCCTCAGTATTAGTGGCTTCTAGGGGACCATGGAACAGTGCCTTCAAAGTTGGAAAATCATTTTGAATGTAGAATTTTATGCCCAGCCAGATTATTTCTAGTATGAACGCAGAATAGACACAGGTCTGTGCAAGGACTCAGGTTTTTCTCTAAGCTACCATTCTAGTGGAAGGGACTAGAAGCCCAACTCTAGCAAAAGAAGGGAGAAAACTTTTGACATGATGTGTGGATACGTGAGGACAGCGAACTGGGATTGCAATAATGGGAAGTGTCAGGGTGATACTGGCGTAGGAGGTTAAGAGAAAAGAATGAGCAAATCAGAAATTCGGGAAGTAAATGCTTACAGAGTTAAGAGACTGGACAAGTAAAAATCATCATGAGATTCCTTTTTTCTCAAGAAACGCAATCTAGTCAAGGAGTGTGCAGGATATAATGGGACCCGAAACAAGCATGTAGGAAAAGAGGATCCATGTTGACCTTGGTGCTAGTAGCAACACCGTCAGCTGGCCCAGGTGTGGCAGTGACCCTGAAAGAGGAGGGACACAATCCTGGCGCAGTAGTTGGCTCTGATGGACATCACATACCCAGTTGTTTCACTACAGCGTTGATGGGAGCAGAACTCTGGCCCGTGGTTGAGTTGGCTTCATTATATGCCACTCCACCTCAAGTCAAAGAACCCACTGACGTTAAGAGAGACCTTAGTGGAGCTTGACTCTCATGTTGCAAACAACTAGTTAAAGCCTGAGAAGTCAGGGGTTGGAATGCAGGTGTTACTGAACTGAAATGTAAAAATGAAGCTGTTTTCTGACCAGAGGAGGGAATCCTCTGAACTAACTGCCTGAGCTGGTGGACTAAGAGCGGTGAGGCTGTCACTCAGTTTAGTAGGTAATTCGGGGAGAGTGAGATCACAGGGGCTGTGATGCGGGGAGAGCGGTGCAGGGGCTGTTGGGGGAGGGGCCGGGATGCACGTGTAGAGTGAATAGTCTCATCTTGGCCTATGGTCACTGCCCATGACGTTTATAAAGTAACAACCTCTAAAAGACCTGAAAACCTTTCCCAAGGCTTCCAGGGGTGCGGAGGAGGCTCTGGCTTTTCAACATTTGTCCCCTGTGGCCATGAATTTTGTTACTTTTACAAATACAATTCAGTCTTGTGGTTGTAAAACTGAAACTTTCACTAGTAACACAAGCCAGTTACCCGATGTAATTAGCTTAAACACTGGAGGAAGCATGTTTCGAAATCTGAGCTGGATTTGGAACAGTTGTTTGTAACATTGTAGGCACCTCGTTCTTCCACATTCAGTTTTGGGGGTGTCAGGTTCAATGAGAGCTTAGAATCGAAACTCAAGTGACCCTGGTGAAGAGTATGGACTTGGATGCCACGATGCCTGGGTTCACATCCCTGCTATTTAGATCAGTAACTTGACCTCTGAGCCTCAGTTATTCCCTCTGTAAAACAGGGGGGCTGTACCCCGACTCACAGGACTCTCACGAGCATTCAGCGAGCTAATACCGTACCTGGGAAGTGGTGTTACTAGGAGGCTAACAGGGAGCTGGAGTCAGAAGACCCCACTCTTCCCTTGCGGCCGAGTGTCCTGACGCATGTTTGGGGGGAGCTCTCTGTTGCCTGCCTGCTCTAATGGAAACACACCTTCCATTGCTAGGGGACACCCCCTTCCAGTGCTGGCTCTGTAGCGCCAAGTTCAAAATCAGCTCGGACTTGAAAAGGCACATGATCGTGCACTCGGGGGAGAAGCCTTTCAAGTGCGAGTTCTGCGACGTCCGCTGCACCATGAAGGCCAACCTCAAGTCCCACGTCCGCATCAAGCACACCTTCAAGTGCCTGCACTGCGCCTTCCAGGGCCGGGACCGGGCGGACCTCCTGGAGCACAGCCGGCTGCACCGGGCCGACCACCCTGAGAAGTGTCCCGAGTGCAGCTACTCCTGCTCCAGCGCGGCCGCCCTGCGCGTGCACAGCCGGGTGCACTGCACCGACCGCCCCTTCAAGTGCGACTTCTGCAGCTTCGACACCAAGCGGCCCAGCAGCCTGGCCAAACACATTGACAAGGTACACAGGGACGAGGCCAAGACAGAGAACCGGGTCCCGCAGGGCAGGGAAGGGCCCCGAGACAGCAGCTCTCCGCACGTGGCCACAATAGTGACGCAGAGGGCCTTCCGCTGTGAGACCTGCGGGGCCGCCTTCGTCAGGGACGACTCTCTGAGATGCCACATGAAGCAGCACAGTGACCATGGTGAGAACAAGAACTCGGACTTGGTCACCTTCCCGCCTGAAAGCGGCGCGTCGGGGCAGCTGGGTGCCCTGGTCTCCACGGGGCAGCTGGACACCTCCCTGGAGCCCGGCCAGTGCCTCTGATTTGTGCAGAGAGGCTGGCGAACCCTCTGGAATTCCAGACAAATGCTGCTGCCTGGCCCTTTGGGTGAGACCATCAAGCCGGACTTGTAGTCACCAGCTCAGGGCGTGGCTGCCTGCACCGCATAGGCCTCCAGAGGCCATGGCTGCAGCCACTGTGGTGTGAGGGCAGACGCCACAGCAGCGCTACGGATGCTGTCTCCCCCCCGAGAGTCCCCCGAGCACCAGCTGTCCCGAATGGGGGTCCGCTGAGCACCGCTCACCCCAGTGGGGACAGCTTCTTCAGGACAGACTGCAGCGCCAAGCCCGGTCCCCCTCTGATGCAGTTGTTTGACTGGTCAGGCCTCGCAGGCACTGAAGCACAACTGATCTGTACAGTGGGGAAGGCTGGGATGGCCTGGGCCCTGGGCAAGGTCTAGTTCTAACCTGGGTGGCAGTTGGGAGAATGTTCGCCTTACACGTTTTTGTGGGGTCCCTTTTATCGGTTGTCTTGTAACAAAAAGGCAAACTCATCTGCAGAAGAATGTAAGCGGAATACTCCCGTTTCTCCCAGAGACAGGGTGTGGTGTGTTCCTCTCCATCCCTGCCCTGCCCCCGCCCCCCTGATGATAACAGCAGGCAGGACTTCTTGTCTCAGTGCTGCGACCGGAAATGCAGTTTGACCTGTAGGTGGCAGCAGAGATCAAACTAACACAAGCTCAGCCTGTGCCTTTTGAAATCAAGGTGTGTACTTGTAACTTGTATTCCTAAAGGACAGACTAGGGCCCAGCCCGCCCGGGGGTTGGTTCTGGACAGGCACTGTGTGGGACAGCCTGAGACCAGCATCCCTCACCACAGGAAGCACATGGTGTCTACTGAACCAACAAGTGAAAATCCAAACCTCTTGTCCGTGTACATTTGGCCTGACCTAGGAGGCTGTGGGGTGTCAGTGGCTTTATAACTGGGCCAGACTTGCTTTGTTTGTTCTCCTTTGGCATCTTTTCAAATACAGTCTCTGTTTAATACAAATTTGCATGTGCCCTTCATCAAGCGTAAAATCTGTGCTCTTAAAAGAGATTAATAAATAGATCCGCTGGTTTTGGTAAGCTGGGATAAAGGAGGTGAAAACACACTTTTACAGACTGTGTGCCAGGGAGTGTCTCATGAATAGCGAGAGGTGCGCAGCGTCATTTGTCACGCATTTTGCTGTTTGTAAAAATCTGATGCCGTTGAAGTCTGCCGTGCGGCAGGCAGTCCACCCTGTCAAGTCCCTTGGTCGTGAGGAGGGCACCCCCTACCATGGCGGCATTAACCACTGCTTTGCTTCGGAACTGTGTTTCCGACGGCTCCGAAATGTCTGTGGGCACTGGGGGCAGGCGCGTTGTACAGGTTCTGTGGTTGCCTTTCTGCTGCTTGCCCTGCGCCTTATCGACACATCTGTTCCAATGGCAGGGGGCTCGTTGACCTTTCAAGTGGGAACTGGGAGATCAGAATAGTGTAAACACTCCTCACACCTCTGCTGTCACAGCTCTCTGGACAGGCAGGAAGGACGTCAGCCTTCTCAGAAGGCTTCTTGTAACAGCTGTGTGGACTCCTGGGGTCGTCCCTGTACCCCAGTGTCACCTAGTAAGTTAGGGTCCCCAGGGTGCAGGGTCAGTAAAGAGTTCTGGACCAGACGGTATCTGAGGCACTGCGGGCCTCTGAAGTTTCTCTGGTGACTGAACTCGGTGCTGTTAGCACAGAGGCAGCCATACGTAGGTGAAAAGAAAGAACTCACAAGTCCGTGTTCCAGTGAAACGTTACAAGATAACTCGGGAAGTGGGAGAGCAACCTGGCTAATCCTGCTGGGGTGAGACTGGAAAGAGGCAGGTGACCGCCGAGGAGACTGGGGAACGGCCAGTGATGGCTACGGGGCTGCTGGCAGGTGCAGACCAGGTAAGCAGAGCCCCTCTCCCCACCTGTCGGTGGGGTTGACGTGGATCGGAAAGGGGAAACTGATGGATGAGTGCGTCACAGTTTGATGTCACTCGCACTGGGGCATGGGTGAACTTTTTCAGGAAAGGGCCAGGTGGCAAATACTCGGGGCTTTGCTGGCCTCGGTCTGTGCCGAAACCGCTCGCCTCTTCACCTGTGCTGTTGGAGCACATTCGCTTCACTCTGCCACGGTAACCAAAGCAGCCATAGACAATAGTTAAACAGATGGGTATATCAGTGTGCTAATAAAACTTTATTGACAAAAAGTGGGCTGTGATGTGTAGGGCCGTGGTCAACTGACCTGGAGCCGGACTGTTGGGGTGCGAGCAGCAGGGGCGATTGGCCGTGGGTTGAGTGCCCGGAGCAGTGTGAGCAGTGCTGTTTCCTGCACTGCCTTCCAGGGAGGTGCTGCTTCCTGCAGCAGATGGTGCGTTCCACGTGGGCACCAGACAAACTGGGGCCTTTGGAGCCTGATTCAGACTCGCTACCAACTCTGCAGTGGAGAGTCAAACATCAAAGTGACATCCTCTTGCCTCTGCTCAAGGTGTCTTGCTGCTTGCTGAATACTATAAAACGCAAAGTTTTTATTTGTCCCTACAGTCAATGTCTTCCGGAAAGAAAAGGGATGAGCCCTGGCCATGGCTCAGTTGGCTAGAACGTCATCTTGCCACCACCACAGGGTTGAGGGTTTGATCCCCAGTCAGGGCTCACACAAGAGTCAACCAATGAGCCCATGAATGCCTGGGACAACAAACTGACGTTGATCGCTCTCTCTCTTTCTCTCTCTCTCTCAAATTGAAGAAAAAACCATTTTTAAACTAGTTCATAAACCCAGAATTCTATACCCATTGAAGATATTAAAGCATGAGCCCCAATACCGTTGCCATGGCGACATGTCCTTCGGGGTATTGTGCTGAGAACCTGACCTGTGTTACTCATCTCCCCCGGGGTGGGGGGGGCACCCAGGGCTGGGACTAGGAGGTGAGTGAGGCATTCGCTCAGGGCACCAAAAACTCAGTAACCGAGGAATAAAGTTTCAATACGGTATTTATTTTTAGATGGGAAGGGAGGGAGAAAGGGGAGAAACACTGATTGGCTGCCTCCTGCACTTTGGGGAATGGGGCTCAAAACCCAGGCATGTGCCCTGACCAGGAATTGAACCGGTGACCTTTTGGTCCGCAGGCCAGCGCTCAGTCCACTGAGCCACTCCCAGGTCAGGCACTTTGTTTTTGCGAACAGATTTTTTTAGAAGTTGGCCTAGAAGTTGGGGCAGAGCCGTGGAGCCCATAGTTAAAATTCTGACACTTTGCCCACTGTGGACTTTTCTTTCTTGCATTGCATTTGGATTTTTGAAAATGGCATTAAAGTACTCACCTTGAGCCAGGAGATTTTTGACGGCACTTTGTATCTGCACCCAGGGCGCTGCCTCACCCGCCTCACCCACGTTCCTCCTCTTGTTCAAGTTTGGAAACCAGCACAGAGCTGAAGATACTTCCCGGAGCAGAGTGGGGGGCTGGGTGGGGCCTCCAGGGAAGAAGTGTTTTGTTAAGAGTAATGAATGGACCTGAGGAGGTTGATGACAGAGCAGCCCAAACAAAGGGTAACTCACAGCACCTTTTGTTTAAGTAAAGGGGCCAAGGAGGCAGGAGATGAGGGAGCCCTGCCTCTGGCAGTAACTGTCTGGCTGACAGCTGACCAAAGGCTTTACCTCAGATTCTTGGTTTGCTCATCTGTCAAATGGGCCCATTTCTGACTTTTGGCCTAGTGATGCAATCAGCTGGTTTGGACTTATGCCTGTACGTCCTTTTCTCATTTATTGTGTAGCTTGGGGAGATGGCAGGTGGGCAAGAACCCAGAACTAGAACTGTGACCTCGTGACATTGGGGATCAGGGCTTCTGTCTTCCATCTCCCACCCATGTCTTCAACATGTGGCCAGGGTGGTGGCAACTTAAGTTCCAGCCTGGGGACAAGGTGGCCATGCACCCTGCCTCTTAACACTGCCGGGAAGCTAACTATAAATTGCTCACTGTCCCCGGCTATCCCGCTGGCCATGGGGGTTTCGCTGCAGCAAAGGGTGCTGGGAAATGGTTGCTCCAGAGTGCTGTATGGAGTTACGACGCTGGGTGTCTCGGAGCAGGGACGCCCTCAAAGGCTGCGTGTGGCTTTTCTGTGAAGCAGCTGGGACGGGTCCCGAAAAGCCAGGGTGTGCCTTACACAAGCATTTCTGTTTTTTAAAAAAATTTAATTGTTGTTCGAGTATAGTTTTCTGTCTTTTACTCCCATCCCAGCCCCCCCCCCACAGTACTCCCCACATTTCCATTTTGTCAGGACTTCCCTGGGGCTACCTGTTTTTTCCTCCTGGACACTGGCCCATGGCCGTCTTCCAAGGTTTTCTGTCATTCAGGTCCCTGGGGTCTCGACTGTGGCGACTGCCTGCGGACACCTGGGAAGCTCTCAGCTGTTTGGACTCTCCCGCTGCGGGGAGAGGCCTGGGCATCGGTCCCCCCCAAAGCTGTGCAGGTGCTTCCTGACCGGCACCCAGGTGGGAGCAGCTGCAGCAGTTGAAGGGACAGGGCTGTCTGCATGGGCACGTCACCTGCACTGCCACGACGGGCTCTGCTGGTGCTGTTCTGAAAATCTTACTTTCTATGTATCGATTTTGAAAGAGAGAGAGAGGAAGGGTTGAGCGTCCCACCCATCCGTGCATTCACTGGTTGCTTTCTGTGGGTGCCTTGACCAGAGATCACGCCCACAACCTCAGTGTGTTGGGAGGACGCGCCAGCCAACCGAGCTGCTCAGCCAGGGCCTCGAGTTCTTAGTTTGTGAATGAGGGGCCCTGCGTTTTCATTTTCATTTTCATTTTCATTTTCATCTTCATCCGGCCCTGCAATTGTGTGGCCAGTCTTGTGAAGGAAAGACGAGAATGAGCCTGAGAGGAAGCCGGTCTGCATCCCTGGTACAGAAGAGGCCTCAGCCACTGAAATGAGGGGGTGGGGGCAGGGTGGGGGCAGCCGCCAGGACTCTGGGCGGAAGGAGCAGCACAGTGAACCCTAGTGTTCAAGCGTTTCCTGCGCAGTTCTGTTCAGACTTCACAGTGAAAGGCATCTGCCTTCCTCCTCGTGAGGGGAAACTGATCTTCGACAAGTTACCTTTCTCAGGGCAGCTGGCACAGACAGTCCCACCCAGGGGAGCCGGAGCCCGGGGCCTGCGTGCCATTTGCAGTCCGGCTCCCCACTGACTCCGTCTGGGTCGTCCTCCCCCCACAGAGGGTCAGGGGAATCGGACGGGACCTTGTGAGTTCCAAGTGTTGGCACAGAAACAGAACAAGGTCTTCTGCAAGAATGGTGAGGTCTGTAACTGGGGGGCGGGGGGGGCGTGAAATAAGGGTATTGTCGGAGGATTGGGAAAATGCCCCCAGGCCATCCAGCCCCACAGTGGGGTGGGTGCGCCCAGCATTACTCCCCCCCTGCACACGCGCCACGAAAATGCAGAGCAGGTCTCGCTTCAACAGCAGCCCTTCCGGTGACAGCACTTGAGCTCCCGTGAGCAGAAGGGACCGTACAAGCTCATGTGCGCCCAGGCTCAGGGGACACGGGATGTGCGTGCGCCCTGGTTTGCTTCTGTTTTAACTGAGAAGAAGTGAAGGGGAAAGGCTCCAGCGGTTGTCGGGATTAGAACCTGTGTCCGAGGCCTCACACCACCTGCCTGAGGTCCAGGGTTCATTATTGTTGAGTCGTGGGGCCCTTTGTCAGCCTAATGAAGTTCGGGCCCCCTCTCAAAGTGATGTTGAAAAGAGTTTTCGAAATGCACAGGTTTGCAAAGGGGAACAATTAGATCGAAGTATTCCCCAAAGTATTTTTTAATCATCACATACATTTTATTGGCACATTAAGTAGCAAGCGCCAGCAGCACATCTGGTAGCCGTTCTTGTTTTGAAGTAGCAGTGAGCATAAATGCTATTTCGAGATCTGTGTAACAGCCGTAATATTATGTGGAAATATCTAATTTGTTGACTGAATCACAGGTCCTTCCACTGTGGTTTGGTGCC